ATGAACAAGTACATCTCTCCTTGTCTATTAAAGTTTTGAACATGGCTTTTACTGTAAGTACAATTACCTGAATGTCTGTGCAGCGTAACACCAATTTCTGCAGTGATCTTCTCTGGCTCTGGAGAGCAGGGATGTTTGAGCCCTGGAATGTCCTTTTCACAGGCCCTAATGAAATTTGTTGAAAAAGTTTCTATGAACAGGTGAATAAAAGTCAATCTAACCCTAAGATTGTAAAAATTATTTATTTTTTTTTAATCAACACTTTCCGATAACGTTCTAGCCTGGAAAATTCTGGATCAGCAGTAACTTTTCACAGGTAGTTTAACCAAAGACATGACTGATATTATTAACAGTGCTCCTTCCAACCTCGATCCTTTACAACATTACCATACCTGCTTAAGTGCCATAAAACCAACAAAAGTGGCAATATAGCTTTACCATTCTTACACGTCCCACACGTCCTTCAGTCATAGGCAGATGAACGGGAGCTGTGGCCTGGGCTGTAGAGACATTGGGAACATGGTCACAAAAGAAAATGTGTAGCGTAGTGGAGAACCCAGCAAGTCAGGTAACTCGGAGAGGGGTGTTCAGGCTAACCAGAACATCCTCCTTATTCTTTAATGATTTTTCTCAATTCCTGGCTCTGGGCTTAGATCAGAAGAGATTCCTGTGCGTGAAACATTGCTTTGCTGAGCTGCAACCGTATTCCAGTTTTCATGACAGCTGGCTGTGGCTGCTCATCCCAACAACTTTAGAAGTGTCCCAGGTTTTAAAGGATATGATCCCTTCTCAAGCCTCACTTTCCCAAGCTGGAAAAGCATAACCGTGTTTCTCTGTCTCTGATGCATCCTCCGGCCATGAATGCAATAGAACAGGACAACTGATACTTTCTGCTTGTGCACAGAAATAGATTTTCATATGCCACTATGTCCAGGCTTCTTTCTTTCCCAGCTTTGTTGGACCTGTTTGAATAAGCAAATGTTACAGAATGAAACTCACAGTAAAGAAAAAGCTACTATTGCATTCAAAAGTAATCTTTTTCACTGGATGAGCTGCAGCTTATGTCCCAGTTTCACTCTGCCGTGCTCTAGAGGACCTTCCCAGAGATGCTGTAGGGACAGACCACATCATTGCCAGAGCATACCTGCCCTCTTCAAACCATGGGATGCAAACAACATAGGCAGCAGCATGAGCTGCTCAGCCTGCAATGGTGACAGGCTAAGAAGGAGAATAGCTCACAGTGGTAACTAAGACTTCAGATAATCACTGAAGCAGACCTGATGTTGATAAAAGGACAAAAAGCATACGCACCTGCTTGGTGAGCCAGAGTTCACTATGCCTTGCAGTACTTTCAGAGCTTGTCAGAGGTGCTCACCAGGCAACTTCAATGCCTTTTCCTTGCAGGGACAAGAAGAAATCAGGTTTGGTGTCTTCCATAAGTTGTTTTCTAGAATAGCGCTCTCTATTCTGGGAAGGCTGGTGCCTTGGTGGCCAAGGAGCACAGGCCACAGGAGTGGCCAGATGGGCAACACGGCTTGTTTAGGCACTGGAGTGAAATCAATACCACGTTCCACACAGACATCTTTATTTTCACGTTTCTGCACGTATGCAAGAGAATGTTCTTTTTCCTGGGATGTAATGACAGACACAGATCCTACAGAATGGAGCTTAGCAGATTTTTATAGGTATATAAAAATATATACACATATATAGTTTTGCAAAATTTCTTCTGCGTTTCTCCATGTGTCAGAAAGGATGTTTTTAAAACAAACCAATTCTAAAGGGACAATGTAAGGTTTTTGGGTTTTTTTTGCTAAAATAAAAGAGTTTGCATTTTTCTTCAACTCAATGGGCTTTTCTCCTGGTTTTACTTCAGCAAAAATGTTGAAGAGAAAAAGCATGCCTGTATATTTATTACTCCAAGATACTATCGGAGAAGCAGGTAGACTATTTTTGAACTCATTTCCACAAAGGCCACTCTATCACGTGCATATCAATGCACCACGTATCTGTATCACTGAATCAGTGATGCAAATAAATCTTTAGTGTATAAAAGTCATAATCACAGGACAATTCAGCAGTTTAAGAGCCTCTGTGAAGATAGGTAGGTGTTTATGAGACCTGCTTTAAGTTTCACTGTATATTTTCAGCCTGACAGTGTCCCTTCCGAAAAAAGTACATAACTTAAGAAAGTACATAGTTTAAGAAAGGACAGCCTCCTACAGGTATTTTCTTTTTATTAGTAAAACCAACATTTTTAAAAGTCATTCAACAGAATTTAATACAAATTGCCATTAGAGAATAACATTTGTAAAAGTGAAGCTATACAGCGTTGCTCTATTATAACATGGCTTTAGTTATCACAATAATATATTTGCACATTTTCCTAGGTCTTCCATGGTGTGTGCCCTCCATGAAGAAGAGGATTTTACACTGCTGCTACCATCTTATCAGAGGTCACCCATGGACACAAAGATGTTTGTTCTCAACATATGGTGCAGTCAGGCAATGCCAAATTTCTGCCCACAATGCTTGAGCCTTAGGATATCAGCACCCCAGATTTAAAGGTTGATTCATTATTACTCACAATATTGCAATGTATTCAACGTAACATGAAAACAAATATCAACAGTAACAAGCATGTTACATGTTTTTTGATCAATAATCACACTCCCATTTTTTCAACAGATTGTTGGCTTAAATTCATGTTAGAAAGTCTTTTTTGTAGAAAATGCTGGCCTGAAGATACAGAATAATATTTGTCACTAATGAAACTCTCAGAATAATGACTCAGAGAGTATTTAAACATTTACTGCTTTGAGGACATTTACACAGCTATTACTGACAGAGAGTCTACCTGTAACTTAGAAGCCAGCATAGTAACTACCTTCCATAGACTGGCAAGAGGATGCATGAAGGCATAAGATTAAAATAGCATAGTGTATTTTATTTAGAAAGCCATAGTAGCATTTGCCATAAATATTGCAAGACCCATTTATGAGAGAAAGTACACTTTGCAAGTTTATAAACTAACATTAGAGAAAACACAAATCCTAAAGATGTGTCTGTGCAGAGAACAACTCTCACCGTCTCAGGATCTCTGACGTCTGCTGATTGCAGCACAGATGCAATAGACATATGTGCTGTGCCTGGCAAACCTGGAGGCCTGCTCTGCACTGGTGCATTCCAGTGGGATCAGAGTAAAACACAGGATAATAAAAACCTTACATTTTTATAAATTGCCTAGTGAATAAAAACTAAACTGACATTATGAGACAACTGGAGAACAAAGCTGCTCTCACAGCATTGCACAGCTTCTGTACATTGCTGGAGTTGGTCTGCACGGTATCTTTACTAGGGAGGAATTAATGTTATTTTTATGAAAGGCAGCATTCAGGGTAGGCCAGTGTCATTTTTCTATTCATGTAATTTCACACATGAATAGCACTTTCGAAAAGGAGTGGGCAACTTGAAGAGCTAAAAATTACTACAGAAAAGTGTATGCAGGAGCACAGTAAAAGGAGAAGAAACTATCCTGGGCATTAGCCTAGCTTTACACTAGTAGTGATCAGACCTAATTCTACCATCAGGAATACTTCAACAGATTACATTTTTATAAAATATAACGCTACAGAAATGAGGCATTTTCTGTATTTTGTAGCATAAAAAGCTTCCACTTCTGTAATTTTTAAAATATATCTTCACCACTCTATATGTATATATTACTGTATATTTCTAATATAGTATCTGATGTAATAAAAATATTTTCTTACTGGATGCGATCGATGTAGGACTACTGAAGGGCTACTTTGGGCTTTTCGGCAGCTGCAAAAGTTGGCTCTTCCTTTCTTACCTCTAGTTTCTGAGCCATAAATCTGGATACGACAACAGCACTTTGGTGTGTCAGCTTTAAGAGCGTTCTGCAAAGCAGGCTATGATATGTTAATCAGCTGACAATATACCGGGCAAAATCCAACCACATGATTCTTTCTGTTTACTACTTAAAAAGCCCAACTCACCAATTCAATGCTTACTTGGCATTAACAAGTGAAAGAGACTTGTATATGTTATGTAATTGTCTTGTTGAAAAAAAGCTGATTCTACAGAAAATGTTAAAATATCCAAAGGGACGTGTCCAAAGGGACAAATGGCAGCGGGTTCTGAGACTAACATCAACTAAGTAGCTCCGAATTAAACTTAAAGGACACAGTGCGGAAATACTGATGAATCATCTGCAGGAAGCACTAAGAAAACTGGAAAGCTTAAATAAATCCATAAAGTGGGCAATGCCATATTGTAACATTCAGTGGAAAAATGCAAACATTCGAAAGATGAACCTAGAAAGCATGTGCCAAACTACACCAAAGGGACCATAACACATGACCATGGTGCTGCTGAGATGCACTCTAGAGAATCGCGTTATGTTTGTTCCACTACTTACTGAACCGCAGCAGGGTGGCTGGTACCAGAGCAGGTATTCATCTCCCTTACCAGACCTTATAAACTTGTATGGTCTTGCAAGAACTTAATATCATTGAAAAGAATTTGTTCTGTAGTTAGATATTTATAGGTGTAACATATGGTTTTTCTTTTCTGGCTCACCCTGGTAAGAAGATCCTCAGGTTAATGTGGTCAGAAAAAAATTCCACGGAACAGCATAGTGGCAGCAGTGAATGTGAGAAAAGAAGCAGAGTCTCTGACGACATGGGGATATTGGCCACATGGGCTCTCTGCTTAATATCCTAGGTATATTTCTTGTTCTTTTATTACTATTTTTACAGACTGCCCTAGAAGATTTTACTTTTGTCAAAGCAGATTACTGGCAAGGAATACACAAAACATTTTGCCTTACAGTTATGTAGACAATTTCACTTGCAATAAATTGTTGCGTAAGCTACTAGCATGTGTTATCATAGGTAATCAAGCTTGCTAGATTAAAAGCAGGACTTGTGACTAGCAAAAAACACTATATTATTCATTGAAATTTGAGCAGCAGTTCTCTCTTGTCAGGAGTTATTAAAATAGTCACATGCTTCCAAAATGAAAAGAAGGTCCACCGGTGTCCCCTGGGGAGAAAAGGTGGGATCGGATGCTTTCAGTTGCTATTTGTTTGTACACATCATACAAAAGTCTCACACACTGAACATGGCTTAATCGTAAAAAGCTTTCACCCAGAACGGAGATCTTTGTTAGTCAGAAAGTCTCTGACTCCTCCAGCTCTCATCAGGTACCGTTACATCACGTTCTCGAAGAGCTGTAAGGATCGCATGATGTTGTCATCCTGAAAACAATAAGATACTTTTACAAAGGCAGCACGGACAAGAGTGACTTGTAACTTAGCTTGACACGGGCAAGATCTGCAGCTGCTACTGCAGATAACAGCCTTGTTTTCATGTTTTCCATCCTTGATGAGCTGGAATTAATTCAGTGATTGCGCCCTGATTCAGCAAAACAGTTGTTTCTGGCACCTTAGTCGGTTTGAAGCAAGCAAACACAGGATCGTCTCATAAGCTTGATGTTCAGCATGGGCTGTGCTTTCTGAGGAAAACTAGAAACAGCATTGGGCTGGTTATTCTGTGGATCCTCAACTTCCGTGCCCAACTCTATTACATGGACCTTGAATTTACAAATATGCACACAGCCAACACATGTCAGAAATTCAGACAAAACTGAAGGTTTTGAACTAATCAGCAAGCTGTCTTGCGGGATCACTTCATTCCAAAAATACAACCTTAAACCCAAAATACATGGAATCTCAGATCTCTGATGTTCCTAGACCCAAATGACAAATCTGAGAGACACACAAGGGAAATACCCGATTGTTTCTTATTAAGTCTCGAAACTGATGATTCCCAATCTCCCAAGAATTAAGTTTTTCCAAAATTTAGAGTAATTGTTTTACTGTGACATGAAAATAATTTTCCTCATTGCGCAACTTAAGAGATCTATTACTTCTCCTTCCTCTGCATTAAGGCTGCTTTAACTTAGTTCTAACTTTTGGTGGGCATTAGTACAAGATCTCAACTTGCATGGGAAATCACTCAACCTCTCTAAAGCAATGCTCGAGTTCATTGCTCATGAGCCATATTCTATGAGTTGGCAAATGTAAGCATTATAGTCCACTTGGTTTTGGGTTCCATAAAAAAAGGACAACAAAATATCTAGTGTTGCAGGGCTTGCTCCCATCTACCAGGAAATCACAAGTGACAGTAGTGCACAGTCCCTAGTACACGTGTGTCAACAGCAGGAACCAAGTCTAGGGTAGAACATTAAACAAACTCAGAGTGAGAATTAAAGCTGCTTCAGAATTGAGACCACTAGTAAATTATGAATGTGAAGAATAACACAAAAAATACAAAGCCAAAATGAAGTTAACAATAAGGAGGGATCAAAAATTAACTGAAAATAATCATGCATCTGCTAATAAGGATTTCACCACCTGAAGTCCCTGACTTGAGAAGTAATTTGGATGTTGTTAGAGCCAGACGACACAGAAGCAACAGGAAAGCAAACTTAGCCCTCCACAGTGAGCATCTGCCCATTGCTCAGGTATTGTGTACAGTTCTGGTGTCCTCAACATAAAAAGGACATGGAGCTACTGGAGCAAGTCCAGAGGAGGCCACGAGGATGATAAGAGGACTGGAGCATCTCCCGTATGGAGACAGGCTGAGAAAGTTGGGGCTGTTCAGCCTGGAGAAGAGAAAGCTGCGTGGAGACCTCAGAGCAGCCTTCCAGTTTCTGAAGGGGGCCTACAAGGATGCTGGGGAGGGACTCTTCATTAGGGACTCTAGTGGTAGGACAAGGGGTCATGGCTTTAAACTTAAACAGGGGAAGTTTAGATTAGATCTAAGGAAGAAGTTCTTCACAGTGAGGGTGGTGAGGCACTGGAATAGGTTGCCCAAGGAAGTTGTGAATGCTCCAACCCTGGAGGTGTTCAAGGCCAGGCTGGACAGAGCTTCAGGCGACCTAGTTTAGTGTGTGGTGTCCCTGCTCATGGCATGGGGTTGGAACTAGATGATCTTAAGATCATTTCCAACCCTCACTATTTTATGATTCTATGATTCTACAACAGAGCTGCCTGACTGCAGAGCAGGAAAGAATTTCCAGGGAAAGGAAAACACATGAGAGCAGTTTTGTGATTCTTTACACCAGTGTAAACTTTCCAAAATGCAGACCATTATTATACTTGTTAAATAAATCTCCAAGCAAATTTTCACACTGTTAATTTTAGCCTAAGAAAACTATTTGCCCACTGCAAGTAAATGGTGATGCTAAAACATACCACTTACATAAAAATTGTAAAACTGTGGTGAGGCACAGGGTGCCCAGAGAAGCTGTGGCTGCCCCATTCCTGCAGTGTTCAAAGGCCAGGTTAGACTGGGCTTGGGGCAACCTGCTCTAGTGGAAGGTGTCCCTGCTCAGGGCAGGGCGTTGAAACTTAAGGTCCCTTTCAACCCAAACCAGTCTGGGATTCTATAATACAGCCAAACAAATGTATGTAGTTTACAAGAGAAATTATTACCAAAAGATAATAATAAATGTAAAGCATTGCTGTGATTACAGCATTTGCTTGGAATGTTTGTCCATGAAAACATCAAAAGGTTTTAGAAGCCAGAGCTGCAATCTAGGCAGTCCCAGCAATATGGTGTCTGATAAGGTCATCCATGGATAGTACACAAAAACAGTGTTAGCCTCTTAAAAAAACCAAACACCCCCTTCTATGGAAAGGAAAAAGACAAGTACAAGGAAAGGACCTAACGCAGTTTAAGACTGTTAGCAGTTTTTTGTACAGTTAGCTATCTGCTTTTCTACAGAATCAGGTGCTCCACTTCACTCAGGAAAATAAAAGAAGAGCCAGACAGGATTCACAGAGCACCAACAGAAACTCAATTTGAAGGTTTTTTTTTTACCTGGCACCTCGAGCAGCATTTGTCAAATGCTGTTTATCCAACGGGACATGCAGATACTGAGGAATGGTTTAGACCTTTCAGTACAATTAGAATTTTGTCCTTACCTCCTGACACGATTCAATAAATTCATCTAAAGTTACAACACCATCTTTGTTTTTATCCATTTTCTGCAAAATAAAAGAAAAATGAAATAATTTTTCCATATCTAGGACTGCAGTTAAAGTACAATATCTTTGTTGAAGCAACCTGATTAAATCTAAGGCACTTTACAGGCTTAGAGTAGAGATTCAGTGTCATTGAGTAAATATGTCAACAGCTAAGGATTTTTTACTCTGGCAGTTGGAGCACTTTTGAAGAAGTCTCCAACTATTCCTTCCTTGCCATACACAACAACTTATTATGCCATCTATTTAATCACTGCCTCAACAAACAGCACCCATAGTCCTTTCTCACTGTATGGGAAGCTGAGAGAAGTGTAGAGTTTTCAGCCTTGCTGGATATGACACCTATGCAAAAGATTGGCTTTAAGAGACACATGAGATACCTACAGAACCAGGAAATCAGCAGACACTGTGGTGTTAGGCTGAATGGCTGCTAGGCTTTATTTTTGAATATATCATGGGACACAGAATTGAACTTGGGCTAACTTTATTGTAAAGTGTATCAGTGGATGGTTCAAAAGTTAAGAAAAACACATCAAAAATCAATTACCTGGAAGAATACTTCTACATGCTGCCTTGGTGCATCTTCCTTGAGCACTGGATATGTATACTTTCCCATCATATCATAAATTGCCTTTACAATATCTGTCATTTCCTGCAGTAGTGCAGCCAGCAACAACACAAAACCAAAGTTAATAGAAATGCTAGCACAATTTTACTTTTTCCTGCTCTATTCTCCACCTTTCTCTTCCTATTACAAACCAGCTCAGAGAATGCCTGTACATGTGCTTGTAAACAGATGTATCACCGCACACAATTTCAACTATAAACAAGTACTTCTGACTGTGGCATAACTTGGCCATAACCTGGTTGGAGGCTCCTGCAGTGCTTGCACAAGCTGCCACACAAGTCTATGAGCAGTGCCAGTAACTGTGAACACTCCAGGTACACACAGCATTTTGACAGGACAGACCAACAGTATTTGCAACATAGTCATTGTTACCATGCTCAAAACCAGGATTCCTACAAAGGGAAAAAAGCAATACCAGAGGAGAAGATAAAACGATGTGACAACACCGTAAAACCCTTTTGACTCAGCCACCAGTAGCTACTGTGACCACTACCCTCTCCTTCAAAAAGTTTACATGAGCAGTAGCTCATAGACTTAAGTAGGGTTTTGCTCCTGTCTAAAGCCACTATAATATAGGAAAATATGTCCACAAAATCATGCATTATAAGATCACTGTGGACTTTCTTAGATATAGATAAATGCGCACATCCAGTCTGAGTTGTATTTAACGATCTGCATATAAAATTAACTGTTGTCTGTAAAAGAAACCGGTTGTCCTCTTCAGAAGTCACCCTTGTTTATCACGAACAGCCTTACCTCTTTGTTTATGTAGCCATCCTTATTTATGTCGTAGAGGTTAAATGTCCATCTTAGCTTTTCATGAGCAGTTCCCCGTAACAGAATGGATAATGCCATCACAAAATCCTGTTCAAGGCAGTGTTAATTTCAAGAATATCCTTTCAAGTTATTAATTTCAAGAATTTTTTCAATTTCTAGTTCAGCTTCTTTATATAATGCCAGTCAAAAGACATATTTCTTAGGATATCGATATGGCTTTCAATCTCTTCTGAGATTCCCTTTTCCAAAATGTGTCATCTCTGACTGAACTCAATGGACATAAATGGATAATGGACATCATAGCCACTAAGATACCCCAAGTACTGTCACATTACAAAATGTGTATGTAGTACCCATTCAGAAAAGAAAAGCAAAGTACTCAAAAGGCAGCCAGTGTAAAAGCATAGCTTATGATACGGGATAGGCAGCTTAGCAAGGCTGGAAGGGCAGCAGACTTAAAATCTCCTAATCCTGAATAGAGGGTTGTGGAAACAGCAGAGGATTAAGAACTGGTGCAGTCCAAGAGAAGTAGACTTAGATCCTAATCTTGAGGACAGTGGATGATCCGGCTCCTCAGACTTAACCAAGTGTGGGACAACGTGCTCCAGGCCAGAAGCTAAGACACCTTTCTTGCTAGCCATCCAAATTGATCATGGTCTAAACTGTAAATAGTGCTTGGATGTAAGCATGGAAAATACATGTATCGTTTTTAAGGGCAGTGCCAGCTGTTCTAGCGGTCATTTCCCTTCTGCAAGGAGTCCTCCCTCTCTTGACACTGCCTTGTTAAACATAGCTGGGCCGTGAACGAGGAAGAAGATGGATTCTTACTTAAAGATCTAGGGTGCTGGTGAAGAAAGGCAGAAAATCCATCATTTTTTTACATGCCCACCTTGAGAGAGTTGGAGAGATCCCAAACTCCTCCAACACAGTGAGCCTCAGATATTGTTCTCTGGCAAAATCCTTCAGGCTTAACCAGATGCCGGTCCCACCACTTTATACTCAGGCTGGGACTCACCATCTGAATTGTACTTTCTTGTTTACAGCAAAGTTATGGCTTCCAATAACTTTATTTTTCATACTATATGGTGGCTCAGGCATTGCAAGCAGTATTGCTGCAGAGAGTCGTTAGTACAGTCAGAGCTTCAAACTAACAGAGCTATACAGTTGACGGTACGTAACTTAATGTACTTAATCCTTCCTATGTTATCTCCATTAGCTCTGCTTGAGGCAGCTCATCACTTAGAAAACTTTGCTCCTTTTTACCAAGACTCAGAGGAATTCAAATTTGCTGAAAAGCACGAAAAATTACAAACATCTTTATGTTTGACAACCACTAAAGAGGCAGGTTTGCCAGGAAGGAAAGTGCAGCAAGTTTTTTGAATACTCATCTAAGCATTTTCCTCTGGCTCAGTCTGTTTAAGTTTCTGGAAGATTTTAATGACCGAGTAGCTGCTATATGCAGAACTCCCACCGCGGCCGTCTCTACAGAGGCCATGGTAATATTCCCATCTAACATTTGATAAACGAAAAGTGTTCTCAGTCTTATCTTGAAATTACCAGATTTTTGACCTTTTGGTACCAAATGCAAGACTGTCTGTGATTTCCAGTTTTACGAACACAGTAAACTGTATTCAAATCTCTAAAGATCATTCTTTACAAATCTGTGGCTTAACATATCTTTTTGCTGCACTCTTACATCTATGTGTGTGAGCTTGAAGTATGGTTATTTCTAGCTACAGCAACAGGCCTTTTAGTTGAAGGGTGGATTTAGTTTCCATTTTGTATCAAGTGTCTGAAAAACTTGTTCAATATATCAAATAAACTTAATCCTTATTCCACGAATATACTAATACACTAATTCAGACATGCACTGCATGATGACTGCATAAGATACAAGATGTTACTGGTTGTCTTTGACGTCCAAATTATCTGTGCAACTCTATCTGCATAAAGTGAATCAGGTTTTAAAGTATCAACTGATTTTAGTCTGAAACCTCTATGCATAAGCCAACAAATCCTACTATTCTACAGTGAAGAATGGCTGGAAATGCTTAAAAACTAAGAATGGGTAAGGGGCATAGTAGGAATATGCAAAAGAATTACCTCAAACTTCACTGAGCCATTTTGTGCAGTGTCGAAAGCATTGAAGAGATAATGTGCATACATGCTAGCATCTGAAAGACAAAAGGATACTCATTAACACAACAATTCATTTTAATACACTGAGGGGTCTAAACAGCATTCACTTTGCATAAAAACCAACCTTGTAGCAATACTATATATTCTATGAAACAATAAATGTTAACATGGACTTGCATAATTCCCATGTCCTTCCTTAAGACAACCTTTAAAAGTAAAAACATTTATTACTGTAGAAACTATTTTGTTCATGAGGCTGGAGCTCATATAATGACAGTGTCGTGGTTTAAGCCCAGCCGGCAACTTGGAACCACGCAGCCGCTCGCTCACTCCCCCCCTTTTCCTTCCTCCCCCCGCTCCCGGAGGGATGGGGAGGAGAATCGAAGGAATGTAACTCCCACGAGTTGAGATAACAGCTCTCCAGTAACTAAGGTATAATACAAACCACTACTGCTACCAATAATAATGATAAGAGGAATAACAAGGGAAAAGGACACAACCGCTCACCACCCGCCGACCGATACCCAGCCCGACCCGAGCAGCGATCTGGGCCTTCCGGGTAACTCCCCCCAGTTTCTATACTGGGCATGACGTGCTGTGGTATGGAATACCCCTTTGGCCAGTTTGAGTCAGGTGTCCTGTCTCTGCTTCCTCCTGGCTTCCCCTCCTCTCTGGCAAAGCATGAGACTGAGAAAGTCCTTGGTCAGAGTAAACATTACTTAGCAACAACTAAAAACATCGGTGTTATCAGCATTGTTCCCAGACTGAAAGTCAAAACCACAGCACTGCACCAGCTACTAAGAAGGAGAAAAAATGACTGCTGTAGCTGAACCCAGGACAGACAGAAAACCCCAAAATAATCCAGAAGTGTCTCTTGGGTAAATGGGATGGTAGCTTCTAGCTGAAACACAGCAAACGTACCAAAGAGGGAGTCCAGCATGTGTGCTGCCTTCCTCTACCTTCCTGCTTTGTGCAGAGAAGATTCCCAGACACTGGCCAACTTTGGCAGGGTCTGGTTCCGCTAAGTTCAGTTTGGGTCCTGAGTACTAAAAAGCAATCTCATCTGAGGTATTGTTTTGTTCTTTTGCATCTCAACCTGCTGATTTTAGCAAATCGTTTCTGTTGTGAAGTACGATTTCTCTGGCCATGTGAAGCATCCAGAAAAGTGCACGGAAAAATATTTGCAGGAGGAATACTGTCATTTTTAAGAGAAGGCTTCTGAAATAATAGCTCCAGAGTTAGAACGCTTATGGAATAGTCAAAACCGCAATTACGCTAAAACATGAACTACAAAAAATTAAACTAGACTGTCATTATCAATAGAGTATCATAAAATACTAAATTCCTTATATTATTTGAAACCCAATTAGCAAAAATGAAAACCTGTCAAGGACAGGTCCCTCTGTAACAAAAACATCACAAGACGGGGATGAGGCTGCACAAAAGCTGAATAACCCATAGATGCTTTACTAAGTATATGTGTACAAAAAAGCCATAAAAATGAAAAGGTGTCTGAGGCATCTGAATTCTTACAATTTGTGATACTAAGTTTGTACAGTTTGGAAGCCATCTGAAAGTGCAAAATATGAAATGGCATCTGTTGCTAAACTGACATATTAATCATTAAGGAATGGGCATGTTCACAGCCATGGTACACGGAAAAAAAGAAAAGAGGAAGTGTATGTTCCTGACTGTTATTCAGACATGGGAAGGAAGAATTCACCCGCGGTTCTTAGTCTTCCTTTGGTTAAGTAGAAGCACAATATATATCTATAAATACATTCAGACCATACTTAATGTAAACTTTTCATACGTGTGTACCTTTGAGATCACATACATTGTGAAACATAAAAATGGTAAGGTTTATCTTGAAATTTAGTTTAAAAAACTCACTAATTACCTTCTGCAAGTAAATGCAAATGTACACAGGCTTTTATAGAAACTTCAGCCACCATGAATAAAATGAATATATTCCCCAGCTACTATAGAGTGGAATATAGAACCATAGAATCATTTAGGTAGGTAAAGCCTTTTAACATCATCGAGTCCAACCAATTAACCCAGCACTGCCAAGTCTGCTTCTGCTGCTGTAGCTTGAGGCCATTTCCTCTTGTCCTAGCCCTTGTTCGTCCTCTCAGGTAGTTGTAGAGAGAGGTAAGGTCCCCCTGAGCTTCCTTTTCTCCAGGGAAAACCAGCTTTTCAGAAAGCCTCAAATACTGAATCTTTTACTAAAAAGCTATAGTATACCCACACAGTATATTCAGTTTGAATAACATATAGATTATGATGTTTTTCAAAGGTAAGAATATGTTGACAGTTTTAATACAAGACTTTGATATTTCAGTATATGATACCACCCTCTTCTCGGTCACACAAACAGTAAAACAATCATTTAAGGTAGCTAGAATTTCACACATCAACTAGCTAACACTTTAAGTATTTTAGGAAGGTTTTGACTACTTTGCATGCCAAAATTAGGACTGGAACTCTTCTGTGCAAGATACTACGTGCACAGAAGTCCAAAGCAGGGGAGCGAAGACACATGGGGGGGTGATTTAACTGCCTGCCATCCAAAAACTCAACATAAAACAACCCATCAATCTTCAGGTTCCATTTGAGGCTTGGGGAAAAAAGGGGCAAACTAATGTGGATTTGTCTCTTCCTATTAAATAAATATTCAACTGGCCTATGTAATTTTATTATCTTGATGTTCAGTTTTCTCTTTAAGATCCTGCAAAGTTTAAGCTCAATTCACATTTCTCACACAGACTACCTACAGTTGGTTTTTGCTGCCAGCTCATGGTAATGAATTTTAAGGCTTGCTTCAAGAAACCTGACAGATGCAAAGTACTCTGCTTACCTCCATGAGGAAAAAACTGTGCATAGATCTGTTTAAATGCTTCTTCATTAACAACCCCACTAGGACATTCCTGTTGGAAAAACAAAAAGAAGAACTAGTGTGAAGAAAAACACCCTGCTAATTTCATTTGCAAAACTCTACAAGCCCGAAGAGAGCACTTCAACAAATGATGTTGCTATTCTCCCAGTGCTCTGTGCAGCTGGAGACATCATCACTCCCAGTGCAGCTTCATTTCATGGTCTTGTTTCACCTTTATTAACATTTCTTAACAATATTTTCTGCATTGTTAATCGCTGCGTTATAGGATAACCAGGAAAGGCAACTCATGCCTTATTTATATGATGTCATAACTTCTATATGATGTCAGGTGAAACTTCTATCATTTAATTACACATAATGTTAGTGCCAGCTAACAGGTCTGGGTCTGATACCTCCACCTATATGAATTTATTAATCATAGAATAGTTAGGGTTGGAAAGGACTCTTTTTCATGTTTTCATCAATGCTAAGACAAATCGAGACCGTTGGCTAACCCTGGCTAGTTTTTTAGGCAGCATATCATTATTTCCTCCCAGACTTAACGTCTAAAGTAATAGAAATTCGTTTAAAAGAAAGGCCACATCTCTGTGCAAACCGAGATGTTGTGGTAGCACAAACAAGCTCGTGAATGAATAGAAATTAATTTGGAAGAACACACAGCTGCTCAGCCTCTGCATCCAAACACGCTACTGCCACATTACACTACCTGGAATGTTCCCTTTATTTCACATGATGCTCTTGGGGTGGAAATCTCCCTAATCTCCCTATAATTCTGTGCTTGGAGGGAGGCTTGTGAGTGCTTTTAATGGCCCTAGGCAGGCTTGCACAGCAGGGCAGACACCAGCACTGCTCTACTTACTCACTACTGGCTGCCCGAAGCTTATGGAAGATGCAAACAGTGTGTGTTGCACCCTGCACAAGACAGAGAAATGCTGCTTCTGGCAGCACTACAGGTTGTTGAATCTGAGATGATTAACCTTAGGAAGTCTAAGAAATGCCTTTGAATTTTTGACAGAAAAAGCTGGAGGAAGATTCAAGTGTATGACTTATGAGTTCCTTAGATACTTTCTAACAACAAAAGGTCTTTGATAAGAAATTCCACTGTGAGAAGACTACAAAGGAAAAGCAGCATTTTTCCCAGCCTGTGATCTGCCGGTATCACCTGCTGCTGGGCATTCCTGAACCACGGAAAAGAGCAGAACAAGAGAAATCACTTTGTACTGTGCAACTCAGGGAAGAATGGAGGGGTACTTCAGGCAGTTCCTTAATCACATACCTGTTTGAAATTGAATTAGCATGAGTAGATTTGTGTTCCTTCCTCCAATGCAGAAATCCTGCTGTATCTTACCCACTATGGTATTATAGGTAAAAATCCTTCAGTGATTTGAGAAGATTTGACCTAAATAAAGGATAATTCGTTGCTTGAAAAGCCCAGAAATTTTCTTTTTAAATCTTGTCCCGACATGTACTTAGTGACCTAGAGCTAGTGAAATATCCATTACCTGGCTGTGGCCATCCCTTCTCCAGCGTCAGTATTCAAGGCCTGTTTCAGGGCAAGAGGCCAAAAAGAACTGGAATAGCTAAAGAGAGGGGCTGCAGGGCCAGGCCTTGTGTTTTTATTTACAGACTAAACTAACAAAACTTCCTAATGCTCTACAGCAAAACTCCTGTTTAGATGAGTATATACAAAATACGTCAAAGCTCACAGTAAAACAGCCGGTGACAATTTTCTTTGTCACAAAAAAATGGTTACTTTTTCTTCTGTCTGTGCCAAATGTGGTGAGTACAAATCAGAGCGTTTATAGAAGTTCTCTGTATGCTTTCCAAAGTAGTGGAGTTCCTTCTGTCTCTTCCACAGTATACGAATAGCCTGTGTTTGCCAAGAACCCCGTCTGCCCTCAGAATGAAGCTGAACATTCCCCTTGCAAAGGCAGGTTTCTATGTAGCAGTTTTGGCACTTAAGCCTGATTAAATTTTCTCAATTTCCACACGATGTCTGGCTTTTGATGCTCCATCTGGAAGCGAAATGAAAAGTTTACAGCAAGGTTTGAAGAGTGCTGGGGAGAGGCAGAGCGGATATTGATCAGCCAGCTTGCCTCTTTGTAACTGGATAGTTTTCAGGCACATATGTTAGTTCCAATTCATTTGCACTTAATTGATTACAATTTTATTTTTATAAAAGCCAAATAATGCTCAAGAGGCCTCATTATTTCTCCAGTACTACTGAATTCAGCTGACTCTGAAGAAATCTCCTTTATGAAGAGGAAAAGGTATATCTGAGTGTCAATGTAATCTCCACTGACGCTAACAAAGCCTTACCCGTTCATGAAAACATCCTTGGCATCATGGAAAAGCAAATTGCTCCACCATAACAGCCTGACTCCACTGACAGGGAATATGAATTCAGGTAAACATCTCTCATTTATTGCTATAACCTATGAATCACTTCTTTAAAACAAGAACCGTGAGTATTTGTTGTATTGCTATGCAGGGAACCAAGCCCTCATTTCGAAGACATACTGACATTGACAGCATAAATTTTGTCTTTGAATCTGCCTCTTCAGAACTCTTAACTCTTTTCAAATACGAAACCACGAAGGCCTGAATCTACATTAAAAAACACCAAAAAACCCTAAAAGAAAAATCAAAGAGAAGTTCACTTGCTGTTTTTTTCTTCTGCTGGAATCAGAAGAAGTGCATCCAAAGATGTGCATTGTGGACAAAACAAGGATCAGCAACAGAACTGAAATGGGGCTAACAATAACCTGCTTATCTGTCTCTTCTCTCCTGGCTTTGCCAGAACATGAATAGGGATACTCAGGGGTCCATGTTTTGATAAGCTAGAAATAGAAAGTTAGCTGACTACAGAGAAATTCTAACTTACTTCCCCTTCAGGATCCACCTCAGATTTACATCTCTATACATTCACAGATCTCCTGTATTCTGTTGTTCTTGCCATGTTCTCCCAGTTTGGAAGTATTAGAATATTTATATCTTGCTCATATATCTTGCTTCAGTCTCCAAAAAACTTGATTTCTTACAGATGTTTACATGTTCATTAAATTTGTTAAAATAGTCACACTGAAGCAAGGCAAGAATGGCTCCAATAGCCTCTCAGTTATTTAGGTTGTCTGTTTCCTGATTATTTATTAGAAACAACGCTAAGAACTATTTCTCATAATAGCAGGGAAACCCCCAAATTGACGAAAAAAAAAAAAAATCCCATTCCTTTAAAATCCATGCACTCAATTACAGAGAATGTACGTAATTTGAAACAGGGTCCTAATGACAGGTATTGAATTACTGAGCTCAAACCTCTGTCATTGTTGGTCACTTCATTAGCCATCAATTTATCAGTTTTCATATTAAAAATAATTTCCTGATCTCCTCCATCTCTTCTGTAACTGTTCCCTAAATTTTACTCTGGGGAGTAGAAACATCCTTCTAATTCCAGTGCTGTGTTGATCTACCTTTAGGCAAACATCATCAAATCTGTGTTCACAAGCATCAAACCCTCAGCTCCTGTGACTGCAGCAGGGCTGAGCAGGGCTTCATTCTCCCTGTGCCTTTAAATGGTTTTGTGATTATCCAGGTGTTGCCTCATGATTAAACAGGACCTGTGCAGCCACAAAGAGCAAGCAGTAATACAAGCTAGAGAGAAGAAAAATTACTGTATTCCCATAGGGAACTTGAATCTCCAGATGGCACTTTAACATTATCCCAAAAAACAGATGGTGTGGTACAACAGCAAATATGGTACAACAGCTGAGTCAGTTTGCCTGCTGTGTATTATTACTCATCCCATTTAAATCATTATTTACAAGCTGCGAATGCTAAAGCATGTCAATTTAAAACCTTGGATATTAAAGCTTCATTCATACCATGTAATAGCAGCAGAAGAAAACCAGGCTGCTTTGTATTAACAACCTGATACGAGACAGCAGCTTGTCCACGCTGCATATTAATACTAAGACCTTCAGTGAGGTTTAGGAAAGGGTTTGGGTCCTAAGTTTCCTAGAATTCATGCCCTGGAAGATAAATGCCTCTACACTGCAAAGATATAGAAGAATTGAGAGGGGCAAGGGGTAAATCTCCTAGGTAAGGAGAGAGCTGCATAGCTAGTTCCTCCAGTCAGCATGGAGCAGAGCTCTCCCACAATGGTATCCCACCAAACACAGCAATAGAGGAGGCATTTCAGGATCTTAGGAAAACACAGCAGTAGTAAAGAGCTCTCACTGTAGGCAGTCATGTCATGTCAAATGTTATGTTAGCCTGTCAAGCTCTCTCAAAAGCCCAGTGATTTCTTGCTGACCTGCTATGTGCAGCAAAGGCTCTACAAATACATGCACAAAAAGAGAAGTACAGAAAGCTGAGCTGTGTCTTGGACCTCTGAAGTGAGTGGAGAAATAAAGGCTGAAACCACCTGACTCCTTGGCAAAATCAAATATATTTTGAAGATGTGGTTCAATGAAACTTCATAAAAAAGCTCAGCTTTTTCTTGGGAATGGACTTGTTTTTCTCTTTCCAAGAGAAATGTCAGGATTTCACTGTGGCACTAACTGAAATGCTGGAGCTATCCTGCAAGACAACTTAAAACCCACCCTTTGTTTATTGAGCTGGCTTAATACTGCTCTATTAGTCATCATAAAATATCAGCTTGCACGATCCACCTGGATGACTAAATCCAGACCCTCAGGCTACCTCAGGCTCCATCTCTTGCAATGGTCTTTCAGGGCAGCAGGGATGGTATGTAGCACTGAGCTGTTGCCTGTTGATGACACCACTGAACTCGTCTGGTCACTGCTGAGCTCTGATTTCATTCTCATTAGTATTCATTCTTCAAGGTCCATAAAGCATGTGCTCCATGCAGCCTCAAAATTCCCCATTAGTTTCTATTTATTATACATCCCTAAGAGACAGCAGAAGGTGAGTTGGAAGCTGAGGCTCTGATCTGCAGCATCCCTACTACCAGGGAGTATATGGCTGGTTGGTAACAAAGGCGAGTACAGTGTTGTTCTGTGCACACAGATATGCCAACTGACATGGCTCCTTCTCTCACCTCAGTCTATAGCCTCTCTCTCTCTTGTCTCCTCAGTCTTGATACCTCTTTACTATTGATTTCTTTTTGCCTCCTGCCACTTCATCTTACTCTATTTAAGCAGGAGTGGTAGTACTAGTGCACTCTAGTACATCCTGCTAAAAGAGCAAGATTTCTGTGTCTAAAGAAAGAATGCAAGCAAATCACAGGCAACAGTACTGCTCATACTTGAACATGAGGAAGTGACAGCAAGAATAAGTATCTATAAAACATTTTCAGGTTATCTTTAAGTCTGGCCCAGTTGGGGCAATTGCAGTGTGCTTAATGACGTTTGGGCAAGAAATTGAAGGAGAATATTATATGCTGAGTATTCATCCAAACCCAGTTTTATTGCATCATTACTATTAGAAGCAGCAGCAGATTGTGCTCATTTTGCTGTGGTAGGGGAGATCTAGCACAAAACTGCAAATGTTTAGCAGGGGAATGACATGTAACGCAGCTGAGCAAAGGAGGCCGTGGGAGACATACATACTAGACTCAGGTCAGTGCAGGATCATTCTTACATTTTTAAATCCTCTGTAAAGTACTTGAAGTTCTCTTTTACTGAAATTGGTTTGTGCTTCAAGCTGTTCCAGTCCTTCAGGTCTATGGCACACTGTAGTCATTTCTAATTCATCTTCAATTTTATCTGAAAGAGAAGACACAAAAATATGTATTTTAGTTGTTACCTTGCTCTATTAACATGATGGATAGTACAGCCTGGATTTCAAGAACAATAGAGAAAACCACCAATAGAATAGATCTGTTAAAAGGGTTTTCAACCTCTTGAAAGCAAACGAAAGCCGTATAAGTAAAGCAATAGCTCCCATTTTACAGGGCTGCCAATTAGCTCCCCTTCCACAAAGCAGAAACAGGTGATGAGAACAGAAGAGCAGGGAGCAGATATGTTGCTCCAAAAGACAACACCAGGTATTATCTAAATACTGAAACAGCGTGAAGGAATAAGCCTTTCAAGATACTAGCTTTAAAAAAGCTGTGTAAATACAAGTGAGAGAGCAGATATTCTTAAGTATACTATGCAACGGCATTGTACTGAGGGTAAAGAATAAGGGAAGCTCTGACTGTGTGCTTTAAGCTTGTCTCTATAGCTTGCTATAGAAAAAGGAAAGTCACCCTAATCTTAGGAGAAATTGAAATGATGTCCAGGATTGCTAAATCTAGCATGAAACCAGCCTACATTTGCACGGACTTTTGTGGGAAGCAGATAAGAAATCAAAGATTCTCATATGCATTTTTTCAAGTGAATATTCTTTCACAAGGAAGAAAAATACTGACGTCTGGTATTGCTGTAATCTTACCTCTTTTCTGATGCATGCTTTTAGTTGTCAAGCCCATTTCCACAGAACTCTAGGCAATACCCAAATATATACAGAGCCTTTGTGTATGTACTTTTGAGATTCTCTAAGCTTCAAGGATCAGATGCAGGTTTCAGCTGACGTGAAAGTACCATCTATATCTAAAAGTGGCTTGGCATAAACCCTAAACTCCCCCTTTGTTATTTAAATTGCAACATTTATGCCCTGCAAAAGTGTTTTAGATTACGCTTAGATTAGGGTTCTGCTGAAAGACAAGGATTTCGCAAAGGTGCGGAATCATTCTGAATGGAGGAAAGGCATGAATTCAGAGCAGACAGGTTCAGTGAAAGAACAGGCCAGATTAGATCTATATTTTTATAAGTTAATTCTTTACATAGCTACGAATGATATTAAGGAAAGACACAGATCACAGTGATAAAGGGTAATTCACATTGGTTAATTAGTTCATTGTTAAGAGATCAGTTTGAAATAAAGATGCAGTCTGTCATTTTTCTAATCCACTGTGTCTGGAGCGTCACAGTCTGTATTTGTGGGGCTTGAGCAGTGAAGATACATACCTAAATGCTGTGCTCAATGGCCGTTGCAAGGCAGGGAAATCATGCTAAAAGGCTGTAGTGGCATAGGATAGAAGGGAGTATCACAACCAGTTTATGATGCAGAAAGTCTCCTGAGCACTGGTAGGTGGCCAGAATTATAGCTCTTGTTAGAAGAAAAGAGATGGGAAAGGATATCTGCTATGGAACAGATGTGGAATGGAAAAGCCATTTTCTTTGAAGGACAACATATGCCACAAAATTAAGGAATGGAGAAGAAGCTGTAGATAGCAAAAGAGTAGGGAAGAAATTCTTTGAAATGAGGGAAGTGGAATGAATAGATGAAAAAAGAAGACGAAATACTCGAGAAAAGAGCCGTGTTAGGGAAATTCATCAGTAATCCATACATTCTACAGGAAATACTTTTTTTTACCTTTGGTTAAAAGTAATTTACCTAATAGCCTTTACAAAATGCAAGTAACTACAGACTCTTACGTGTATCTGCTGCTCCCAATACAATAAGCAGTTTACATATGGCCTTGACAGTCACCTTGTTTTTCCCCAGCAAGCCATGCATTTTGTGCTGTGCAGTATGAAAGCAAGTTACCCCCAAGCCTTTGTCTTCTCTGTAACCAACTGCTTATGTGCCCAGCTTTTCACTGGCATTTCCTACTGAATCACTCAAGTTCTTTACAACTTCAGTCAATGTAAAAATCTAAGAGTAAAATAGTGGTCATCTACTCTTTACTTCCTATAATTCAACAGAGAGAGGAAACCCAACAGGTTCTATATGCACCCTCAGGTAAGTCGTGAGACTAATGAGGGAAGCCATCCTTTTGCAATACGCTCAGTCTTGGTTGTATTTATGACCTTACAACGTGGAGCTTCACGTGATGCAGGAAAGATCCAGCTGAGGAAAGTCACACTGTTTGCAAAAGCACTTTGATATGACTGATGGGTTTTGGTGGTTGTTTAATTTGCCACATATTTTCCTCACCTCCTTCTTAATCAACCAGTGTTAGTGTCCTTATTTCCAATCTGAACTTCCCCTTTTTAAGTTCGAACGCATTAGCCCTTGTCCTATTGCTTGCCCTGCAAGAATAGCTTTTCCCAAGTTTCAGTTCATGAGCTTGGGTCCCACTGGGCAGATATTTCTATGTTAAAAATAAGCCAGATTAATGTAGATTTGAATATGTTTCTCATGCTGAGAAATACGCCTCATTTCTTCATAACAAACTGCAGAAAGGAAATAATGAAAAATTCACCCCTTTTCAAAGGGAGCCTCTCCCATTCTCCATTCCAGAACCAGCATTAATGTCTGCCTCTGAGGAAAACCTAATTGGTCCCTGTAGGTTAATGCTTTCATCTGCTTCCTCCTCCTTTCCCTAGAGAAATATTTTGAAACAGCAAAAAAAAATGTGAAGCTTCAGCTCTGGCCAAGGTGACACTCAAAATGACAACACACCAGCAGGTTTCCAAGTAAACAGACTCTAAAGTGGTAGATTTTTTTCCTTCAATGGAATATGCCCTGATAAAACTGGGCATTTCTTAGAGCCCCACTGAAGAAAATAAATACAAGAAAGGCTTACAGGTCCTTTTGTCTATCATTTGTCAACAAAGAGCTATTTTCCACAGTGTTTCAAGATAATATCATTTTTAAAAGATAAAACACTTTTTAGGAGTAACAACTTCACATTACTAGGCCTCAGAGATCAAACATCCCACACTGTATTCAAAAGGCATTAACATTTAAACTTTTCTCAGCTGTCAGCCATGAATCCCCTCCAGCAACACTGTTAATCCCTCCTCCCTTCCTGGCAAAAGCCTGCCCTAGGCACAGCAAAGACCTGTAAGGGTACAAACTGCTCTTCCATGCAAATTGACAAGTTCCAAATCAATAATCCCCGACTCCCACAAAGATTTCTTTATCAATTTATTTCAATTCATCGTTTTCTCTTAACTCAGGTCTTTAAAACTTTTGTCTTCCATTCTTATAAACTCTATAAATTAACTACAGAAACCCCAGTGACAAACCCCAGATTCTGTCACTTCCTCATTTGCTTTTGCCTTCTCTCATGTATATTGTATTTCTTCTTACATTTGCTTTACTGCACTGCCTGGGTCCCTCCCAGCTCTCCAGGGATGACACTATATGAAATACAAGCCTTTGCATCAGTAAACACTGCAACTGTATTACACTGAAGCTCAGCTTCATGGTGTTGAGTGCAAAAAAAAGTGTATGCACATAGATCCACACATTTTTAATTAGAAAAGCACTATGTTAAGATATTTTACCTCATATTTATGTTTTGCCTTGTCTACAACTTGCTGAGCACCCTAAAAGCTTTGAATGTGGGAAACGGCCATGGCACTGGATTCAAGTTAGTTTTCTTATACTTCAGTTTATAAGTGCATGGACAGCCCGAGGGACTGCCATTGCAAGGGGTGCCCATGGTGCCCTCCCCAGCTCAGAAAACATGTGCAAGCAGCTGCAGCTTACAGCAACCCTTGGGGCTGGGGACTTCGTCTCAGGATCTGATTACCCCACAGCTGGTTAGAGAGAAATTGAACACTGGCAAATAGGTCCAAATTTATGATTCTGAACCTCAAAGAATGATTTTGATAGCTTATCAGTGCATTAACTGTGTGATAACTGGTACAGGTGGGTGGACTCAGTAACCAGAGGCGGCTTCTCCTGCTTACAGGTATACTTGATAACTTTCTGTTTAATGATAACTTTTTATTTGGTTTTTTTAGGCTTCAACACTTGTTGAAAGTGTTGATCCCTGGATCAATCCCTTCCACACTGGACAGTTGTAGTGAGTTGTGTCATAGGATCATAGAACTGTTTGAGTTGGAAGGGACCTTAAAGCATATCCAGTTCCACCCTTCTGCCATGGGCAGGGACACATTCGACTAGAGCAGGCTTCTCCAAGCACCCTCCAAAAGGGTCTTGAACACTGCCAGGGATGGGGCAGCCACAGCTTCTCTGGGCACCCTGTGCCAGCGCCTCAGCACCCTCACAGGGAACAACTTCAGCCTAAGTTCTGATCTCAGTCTCTCCTCTGGCTGCTTAAAGTCATTCCCCCTTTTCTTGTCCCTACAGGCCCTTGTCCAAAGCCCCTTTCCAGGTTTCTTGTAGCCCCTTTAGGCACCGGAAGCTGCTCTAAGGTGTCCCCAGAGCCTTCCCTTCTCCAGGCTGAACAAGGATAGGTGTAAGTTCTTCTGCACTGTTTAGCTGGTGCAAGACATGCCTGTGAATTTGCAGAGCTGTTATTCTTAAACGTGTTTAAAACTGTAGGAGTAGGAAGCAGCATTTTCTGATTTAGAATTTGTCTCTGGCCATATATTTATGGCTGCTTTAATAGCAGTATATGAACTGTGGGTCTGGGAGAAGCAGCTGTAGTATCTAAATCCAAAATAGGTCCAGGTTGCAATAATGACTTAATTTCGCATTTTTACTGGGGGCAGAAGACTGTCTCTATTTGCTTAGCCCATAAGAGAGGCACATTTTGTATATCAGACAAAATAAATTGTGGCTTCACTTTACAAAGAAAAATAATGCTGTTGGTAATGAAAGACACAGTTTCATTTCTCTGCTGCTTGCTCAAGAGCAGAAAATAAATTTTCATTAAAGTTTAACTGAACACACTTTGGAAATTAGTGAGGCTGGGTTATACATCCTTTCATATTAGTTTTATTTTTACCTTTTTTTATCTTTATATTTGGAAGGTTTCCATACTTACACTGGTTTTGATTTTCACTGCTGTAAACTTTGGTGAACATAATTTG